AAGTCATAGAATATCATATTACTCGTCAAAAATAAATCACTACTCGTCCATTACAGACTACATTTCTAGAAAAATTAATTTCAAACTACAATTCCCACTCGATTTTCTACAAATCTCAGATAAGTATGAACAGAAGATGGTCTCATGTCCTTTTATTATTAGTGCATTACATTTAGAAAATAAGTGAAAGAGCTTTATACAATTTCAAAGCTTCGACTCATGTTTCAAGTCCTAAGGATTCTCTGATAATGGACAAATTGAGATATAAACGTTAGTAAAATATAAAATATTGCTGATTCCCTGATCATTATTACATACCTTATATTATAAATAATTATTACAGCTATCTTAACGTCACTGTAATCCCATCTACCTATACTATATCAGATAACTTATTGTTGTGTTTCTTATTCAGTTGTAAATATCAACAAATACTTTACATAAATCTAGAGTGAAAAGAGTGATTGAGGTTATTTAAATTGATAACGTCATAACTATAAACCATTATATATATATATATATATATATATATATATATATATATATATATATATATATAAATCTCTTTTTCTTTATTGATTTTTTTAAGCAGCTTTTAATCTCATTTAAATTTTATGTGATATTGCAATTTTAACTAGATAAGATATTCTCTTCTATTTTAAATGAAAAATCTGATTACCAGTAATTGATTTCATGTCTATATTATATATAGAACAATATGGTAGTATAGAAATTTTTTACAAGGTCTCAGGAATGATCAGTTTTGATGAATGAGGAATGAAAGGAAAGAGAATTTCATGGAGAAGTGACGAATCTCAATATTAAATCGTCTAAGCTTACTAAAAATGTAATGTAATAGATTTTTAAAAAATAGAATTTTTCAAAGCTCAGATGTTTTAAAAAGTTAATAGATAGAGACGGGATACATTATGTTTTAAATATTTTGACGCAGGGCAAGACCTGTTATAGTTTCAAAGAAAGTTGGTGGGGTTTAAATACATTTTTAAGTTTTAAAAATTATCAAATTGTTATTTATAATAATTTTCGAAGAATTGTATTAAAGTAGCTGACTATCTCTTGAGCACTTCGGATAACATAAAAAAGAAACTTTTTGATATTTTAAATAAATAAAACTAAATATGCAGGTATGGTTTCTATTATCTTAGTAAGTGAGAGAACAGCGCAAGGCTCATCCGAAAAGAAAAAAAGGTTTTGAGCGAGAACAATAAATGATTAGTATAAGTTCAGGTATATTTGTATTAACTTAAATTAAATTAACTGTTCAACTTATTTAACAGCTGGGATGACTTATTTATTGAAAAATATAACAATCTGTCATAATTGAGGACATTTATTTTAGTGTTCAAAGAGTACATTCACACTCTATTCACACTAAATAATACAGAAAATAATAATACTAAAATTAAATAAAAAGAAATAAACTAATCAAAATATAAACTTAAACACGAACATACTTGTCTTATTTGTTAACTAATAAATTGGAGAGTCGAGCTAATCAATTATTAAGTAAATTATTACTTTAACACTGGTGGTTAAGTATCAAGCATTAGCTGTGTGTGTGTGTGTGTGTTTTTTTTAAACACAATCTTGATATTGTCGATTGTAAGTCAAATGCGTTATAGAGCAGTGAGGTTTCCCACTGGTGTATAATAGTTTTATTATTATAAAGATATAGGACCAAACTAACCAAACCAAACTAAATGGTTAACATCTGGCACCTAAATAATATAATTGATATTCTAAAAAAAAGAGAGAGAGAGAATCAAGTTTAGAAAAGATTTATACCCAGAGATAAAAAAAAAAGTACTAAATGAAACCTAAAGCCAACCGACGGGGTTTTCGTTTTCAGGTGAAATATACCAGCTATGTATCATCAATATCGAGCCCCTGTCCTCTAATTCCACGGGGACCAAAAAACCACACGAGCGCTGAGCCCGGCGTCGATTTCGGACTTGCACTTTACAGCAGATGCAATTCTGCAGTCGTGATGCAGCCGTCAAAGCTCAGCGCTACACGACGGAAAGGTATCCCCCCATCCTTCGTCGCATTAAAACCTCATAAATCTGAGACGGTCTCACGTTCCCGTTTTATTAGCTGGCACTTTGCAAGGTTCGTTCAGGTTCTAATCAAGCGGCTAGAATATAATCCGACCGAAAATTCAGTCGAATTTCGAATTACTATGAGAATTTCGGGAGGCAATTACGGCACTAAATAAAACGGTAGAAAAGAAAAGAAAAGATAGAAGAAGAAATGCAAAATGCGTTTTAAAATATCTATCGACGATACGGGGTGACTGACTACCAGACAGTTAAAGTAAAATGCCCTAACTTTTTCCAGACATTTCCCTAATTAATGATAGTTTTCCCTGTCCACTATGCTTTGGGACACAAATATTAAAAAAGTATAATTGATAACTATATTTAATTATCAAAATAATTTCAGTAGAAAAAAATCAATCATTCTTTTAAATTACACATACAATGTTTTACAGGAAGCATTTTTTTTAGCTTGATTAGGATTTTTTATTTTAGAAAACTAAACTTTTAGTAATTTTTTTTTATAAACTAAAAGAAGGTAAAAATTTATGCTCGACTAATAAAGTGAGTTACGGGGAATTTTAATATGAATGTAGTATCTCATTGATACTACACTGAGTTTTTTTATTACTATAAACAGCACAATAATAATCCATATGATACCAACTGTGCAATTTCTGGTTAATAAATGCTTTTCTGATGAGGACCACGGGTCGAATGGATGAGTGCTTGCCATCCAGATCTTGGTCCAGATTTTTATATATATGTAACAAATAGTAAATCGTATTGGTATTTTTTTCTTCTCAAAATATCACTGTTTTAAAACCATTTTGCTTACATTTTATTCACTACCCTTGTTTGATTAAAACAGTCAAAGGTTGATGAATATAGTGACCGTGGTCGTTCGTAATGACGAAATTTACTCCTTCAAGTTCATTATAAACGATATCCACTGTTTATTTATTGTCAATTCGAAAAAAATATATATTTATGTACTGAAAAAATTCTCTGACTTTACCAATTTTTCCCTGTTCTGAAAATTACTCGACTTTTCCCTTTTTTCAGGTTTCAGTCGCCTCCCTGTGATATCATTCTAATTTCAGTTGAATAAGTCGAGTTTTTAATGGAAAATAAACAAAAGATTTTGAAATTTTCAGAAGTTATGAATACTTTAAAATTCACAGCAGCAAATGCTAATAAAGCACATTAGATATTCTGCCTAAAGAGCGAGAGATCCCATTAAGAATATGATGGAAAATTAATTCATTTTAAGCAGAGACGTAGCAGAGAAGTTTGAACAAAGACCTTGAACTAGGGAATAGTTTAGTATTTGCAGCCTTATTTGAATTTCGTGATCTCAACTAGTTCTACAATGCAGCTTTTATAAACAACGAAAAACTTTTTGATAATTAATTTCAATGAGTTTGCATATATGGCAAACCAGTATTTTTATAACTTATCCATAAATAATCTTATATATTATTTCTAAAAGATGTTTCTTTGTCGCAATACCATAACTTCGTCAATTCTTCATCAAATCCAATGAGTGAGCCCTTATTTTAAAGACCTTCTTCACCTCCTTCAGGTGCGAAAAATAGTCACCCCTCCCCCCCCCCCAAATTTTAGAGAAAAAAATTATGAAGGAAAAGAAACTTCATTACCTAATAACTCCAAAATTATTTATTTTTCTTGATTATACCCATGATAATTAGAAATATTACTATATTACCTACAATACAAACAAAAAATTTTTTTGTTTGTACATTCTACATTTTTTATAATTTAGAAAATCCCATCATATTCGTTATTTTGCATATTAGCTTTCCAGTCACCATTTAAAAATAGGCCCTACCAAAGCAATTTGTACAAATATATTGGTCTATTATGTGAAATGTAATATTGTAATCGACCCAGGAAAAACAATCAACTTCTCCCTCGCATAATACCTGGGATCAAATCATTTCCATATTGTTCTGCTATTTCTTCACTAAATAAAATTTTCTGTAAATTCTTAGCACTGGCCAACTAGTTTTGTATTATTATAAACACAATATTTGTGTGCTTGGTTTTTTAGAGCTTGTTTTATCTCATCACGAAGGCAGTTGCATGCTTACAACTTATCTTATCGCGTCCATTCGATTGATTTTAAACTTCATACGCAGTTATTTTATTTTTCTTTAAGTGCTAATTAATTTGGATCGGTTTTCCTGGTACGGAAAGCAATACTCACCTTACGGTCAACAGTTTTGTTTTCCGCAGTTTTGTTTTCCGAAAGTACACTTATTTTAAAAAGTTTAAATTCGAGATATAAGGTTCACACAAGACCTAGATGTTGGTATTGATTTTGTAAATCCGAGCTTAACCATTATAAATAATACTTTCAATCTTGTAAAAGTGAGGAAAAAGAAGTTTCAGATCTCACTGCATTGCTTGTTGTGGACTGAGGTATATCCTTATATCAGAACTGAGTAACTTTGATCATCAAGAGATATTATTTCTCAAATGACGTCAAAATGTTATAATATAATAAAAATATAAAAGAAAAATATTCCCTCGTAATATCTGCAGCAAAAATCATACGTACAGAGGTTCTTCAACTTCTGGATGACCGTATCTAAACACAAATGAAATCTTTGGATTTGGATTGAAATCTTGGATTAACATGCCCTATAGAGACAAGTTTGATAGAATGTTTCAAATAAAATATTGCCGATATAGTTATACGACTAAATTTATCAACAGCTTTCTTTCTTTTTCTTATGTGATACTTATTAAACAAATTGATTGATAGTAAATGTTTAAAGTAATCTGAAATATTTAAATGCCTAGAGACATGGTTCACCACAAGTATATGGCCATAAATAGCTTATTATAATAAAAACTGAGAACAATTAATAATAAATGAATAATAATAGTAAATAATAATAGTTATAATTAATTTACCTGGTGAAGTAGTCGTGGACGAATGCGGAATGTTCGTCTAGCCATGCCTCTATGGCGGCTTCTTCGTCCCCGTACTGACCTGACCAGCACTCCGCAGTCATCCGTCCTGCAAAAAAAAAAAATATTTTTATTAATATGTATGATTATATAATTATAAGTATTATACATCCAATACTAATTATGTATACATATAAATATTTTTCTTGAATTTTAATGCTATTTCAATATAATATAGTATTGGTACTGAAAACTTTTAATGATGCTTACTGAAAAGATGAACTGAGGAATAGGATTTAACCTAAATTAAATGGGAATATACCATATGATATTAATAGTATGAACAGAAATATATACTAATTTATGAGAAAAAAATATGTAATTTAAGTCGGATTTAAAAATTTCAAAAATATCATAAACACTAACAGACGAAAACAAAAAACACAAGAAACAGAGGTTTAATTCATTTTTTTATTTCCATAGAAACTAATACGGTGAACTTTAAAAATCGAATTTTTCCTGATCCATTTTAATTATGTCGCTAGACTTATTTCTGAAGTGAATTCTAAGCGATTTTTTTTTTAAATCGAAAAATATCGATTCTCATGTAAAACATCCAATGAATCCTATCGTACAGTTTTTGTTTTCAGTAACGAATCCAAGAATTAAAAAAAAAAAAACAACTAAGGTGGGTGCTTTAGACCATACGATAAAAGTGAAAACACCAACAAAACGAGATTAATAATAATATGAAGCATAAATTATAAATAATATCTCATTGTGAAGAGGATGAAACGCTGAACATTTACCTCACTTACAACACGCAGGTCTGATTTTTAGTTTCTGAGATATTTTAATTCATACCTTCAATAAAACTCGTTCTCTTATAGTTTTCGACACCATTTTTTCCCTTTTGAACTTATTGACACGGCGTCGCGTTAAGAAACAATTTCGAATGATAGCCCATCACAGAGAAGATGAAATACTGAACAATCCCCTCGCTTATAGTATACAAGTCCGATTTTTAATTTTTAAGATCCTTTAATCCATATGCAGAAATACTTCAATTAGTCGACTCCAGCCGACTTTACCCGAGCGTTACACATCGGAGATATGACGGCTCACTCTAATTAATTTTCCAGAAAAGAAGTGCAAACAGTGCCCAAAGATTTTTTGACTTAAAAAAAATTGGTGTGAAAATAAGTTTATTCTTATAAGTCCTTAATTTATTTGATAACAAACATTATTTGTAATATTGGTTTTGAAATTACAATTGGAATAGAAAATATAGTTTTAAGCGTTTTCTGAAAAAATTGTAAATTATCAGGGTCCACTTTGGAAATAAACGAAACCTGAAAAACAAAACAAAATAAAATGAAAGAAAGCGTAAAACTCGTCAAATGAGATGGTGGAAGAAGACAATTCATTTAAATTGTATTCGTTAATCCAAAACCATTGGATTCTAACTGTGTTGGAACTGCATCTATTAACCAACACAAACGGTAAACAAATCTCTAACAACGATAGTAGCGTTTACCCGAACTCCATTTTCTCTTGAAAAACCGATTGCAGATGAAACGGGCACAGACAAGAAACACAAGCGTAGAGAAACGACGGATTTATATATTTGTGTTTCAAATACGTGCAACCCTTAAAATTAAAAAAATAAATAAATATGATTAAGTAATCTTATGAGTGCAGAGTTTTAGCGAGGAAATGGACTACTATATAGTTTCCATTTTTAAAATAAATTTAAATGAGCGTTAAAACAATAAAAAAAATCGCTACGGATATGTAATTTTAAAAAATAACAAATGAAAAGACAGCTAATTAAGAAACAAAGGAATCAACTTTTAAACTTGAACTTAAACCATATTAAAAATCATCTAGAGAGACATAATTTTATAAACTTGTTAAATTTATATATATACATGATTATACATAAATCATAAAAAAAATACTTGCTGACGACAATAATCATAAAGAAAAAACATTATTCAAAAAAATTCCAAACCATTGTAAGGGAAATGCTAAACGTATAAGGTATAGAATAAGAGCAAAAACGTTGAGACAAGTCAACCAAAAAATATATTCATGTCAGGAGCTTGTCACATCGTTAAGGTTTTCCATCTTTTTTTACCGAGGAGTATGTAGATTACGTATAGCACAGGGAGGAGGCTAGGGAGAATTTATAAATATTTCATGTGTATAAAAATTTATAAACATCGGCAGAAAAATAGGCGGCGCTCAAATATTTAAGGATACGTTCCCACTACACAGTTAAAATACAAGAGTTACACTGTTATCAGTAATATAATACTGATCTTTTTAAAAGTGGCAATAATATTTACACATATCATAATCACATTTCTTAAAAAATAACAAAAATATAGATTTGTTCGGTTAGATTTAATTTAAATAATTAAATAAATTTTGTAATGATAATGTAACCTCACCTTTGCTTGAATTAATTTTATGAAAAAATAAATGTTAAGATTAGGAAAATTTAGTTGTTCATTTTTTACATAATGATCATTTATTATCACCAAAAAAGAGAATTGTGTAAAAAAAAAAAAACTATTATTATGATAAATAAATAAGGAAATCATACATTTTATTTTTTTTTAAATTATGGTTTTTATAAATTTATAATTTCGAATCATTTAATTCTTTACAACTCGTAGTGAATCTCAGTTTTCTCCGTAAAAACCTCAATCAAATTAATGTACACTTAAAAACTTATTGAATTAGGAAGTTTTTCTAAAGGTGGCCTATCTGAATTCCAGTTGGAGGGTAATAGACAGGCGTAGTTTAGCCGATTAACAGTATCCTTAAAATGGTTTTAACAAATACTAACTCTACTTAAATTTAGAGTAAAATTAGTCTCGTTTACTATTTTTTTTTTTTTCCTAAATTACAATTTTCAATTGCCTAAATTAAATATCTTGTTTGTTTCTGCTTTCTATTAATAAAAAAATGTGACACTTAAAAATATATAAATCTTAAATTTCCTAACTTTTCTATATAAAATCGTACCATTGTTTACATAATTTTATTGGCATCTGCTATTTATTTTATAGACGAGACAACATATATGGATGTATTTATAAATTTCAATTAAATTAATATAGACAACTTATAAAATTAGGAAGTTTTCCTAAAAGTAGGGTATCTGAAGTCTGGTTGGAAGATGAAAGAAAAAATTTGAATAATGTGTGATTTATCTTGTTTGTATCTGTTTTCTATTAAACAAAAAATGTGACACTAAAAATATATAAATCTTAAATTTTCTAAGTTTTAAATTTAAATGTTTTAACTATTCTATTCTTAATTTTACTATTTATTTTCATTTCTTATATAACTTCATATTCCTTTTTTACATTTTATTCTAAGATTAGCATTTTAATACTTATATCACCTTTTTTGTTTATGTTTACTTCATCATTGCACACTTTGTAATGGTTATTATTATTTATTTCTTAGTTCTTACTATTGTCATTATTCTACCCACTTCATTTTACTTTAATTTATTTTTTTTACCTATATTATTTATGTTTATCATACCTTGTTATCTGGTTCTTTCTTACCCCTGATGAAGGCCTGAACTTCAGGTCGAAACGTCGGCAAATGTTAAAATAAATATTCTGCCTATTTCTGACTGATGATCCCAACCATCCTTCTCTTTATTATTCACGACAGTCAACCATTCACCCACAATCATAGTTCATATATATTTTTTTTTTTGTAGCTCTTGAGATCTGCTATAGAAGCGACACTCTACATAGATGTATTTATTACCTGATTACGATGGTAAATAGTATGAATCTTGATCCGATTCTTCGTGCTATCGTGCTTATGTGTTATTAGCTATAGTAAGTTAAAACCAAACCTCCACTTGGATAATTTGTTGATTTTAATTTATAAGGACATATTTTCCTTCATTTAAACACTGTTAAATACATGAATTGCGACAACAGCAAATTTATAAGAAAATTTGAAAAAAAATATGGTCTTCGAACTTCCTCTGGTATTCTTCAATTAAGTAAACAGATCATTATCCTCTTTTTATCAATAATTTTCCGGATTCCGAAAGCATTCTTTTCTTACACTCCATTACACTTAAAACGAAAGTATTAAATATAAAATTAAAACATAATAATAACATTTCCCGCACATTTACGAAATTAATACCAGCTTGAACACGTTAATCTTAAATAAGCTTCTAGACTTAAACACATTTTAAAAGTTTACAATACTTTGCATTAATATTCCTATTGGAATAAATTTAATTTTTGAAAGATCACCTGAACAGATGCTGAAGTAACGTAAAAAACTGCAAGGTATCTTCATACTAATAGCTGAATGAGGGGCACCATCACCAATAACCTTCCACTATTCAAAACGATCCACTACACAACTGCTTCCAGACCCGAACAATGAATGACACTAACTTCCTCCAGCTCCTCTAACATAAACATGACTCGGAGGCAGTTGCTCTGTGTGGTCCACTACACTTCGGTATTTGTTTGCCCAGGTGGTCCACATTCTTCATCTTCCAAGTCACGCCTAACAGCACTAGGGTCTAGCCGGAGGAAGCACTCCAACCAGAGCAAACAATCTGAGGAAGTCCTGTCATCGTCTTTCTTTAAAACCGGGATGACTCAACAAGGGTCTGGGCCAACCAGCATGAGGAGTCCTGGAATCATGTTAGTGGATCGAGATAATAAATCGAGCCGATGTAAGTTATATCGGTTATACCAAAACGAGTCTTGGTCTTGCGGACTCAGTCTTGGACTTGCGCAGGAGTACCGCAACAACCTTACTGTTACCTATTAGCTTATTACTATAGAGAGATTACTGTAATTGTTTAGATAGGAGAAACATAACTAAGCCTGAATGAAAAATTAAAAGAGGTAAACGCAAAAGTATGCGGGTTATACCAATTATTTACATATAGTAACTAAAACTGTTAAGTATTAGTAACTATTTTGTCTTAATTTTTATTCAAAAAATCTTGCAAAGTGCAAGGCCAAGACCGATTTTGGGCAACACAAATGTAAGTCATTGATACGGAATAAAAATACAACATAAACATTTTTCAACTGCGGATTAAGGACTAAATAAGTACA